AAATGAAGATATAGCCTAAAGATGCTTTGTGGGCTTTACAGCATAACCAGGTTTCATTCGCCCGAGCCTCTGGGCAGTTGCCCCCTTTGCGCCCTCCCACTGTCAGCGGGCCTGGGTAGAATGAATTGGCTAAAGTGATCTTCAACACCAGTATACTGATGTCCATTTATTCACAACAAAAGAAAACCATAAAACAAAGATGATTGCAAGCACCAAAATAATATCATGTTTTAAAAATCATCACAAATGTCAGGTTGTTTATATAAATAGCAGAGTAATGACATAAAAAAGACATCTCTTATAAAACTGATTTGTAAGGTAACTTTTGGACAAAAGATTCATGCAGATGGCTCTCTTATCTGCAGAGTAGTTCCTCTTATTTCAGAAAATTTTTCAAGGTAGTTCATAAAAATACAGGTATAAACACAAATAATAAGCTGGAGATGAAGAGCTTTTGTTAGAAGAGCTAAATTCAATTTTCCTGAAGATTTTTGTGTGAAGTACCAAAGTCTAACCAGACTGGAATAAAATGAAAGATTCCTTTTGTGCACATATATCCAATTTATCAAAACCCCTTCATCATCAATGACTACAATGTTTTAAAGCTATTCATGATTTTTGGAAGTTGACAACCAACTGCAGTAATTCAGCAAAGGAGTTGAAAACAATTTTTTTAATGACAGTTCAAAAATAATTAAAAATAATATACAACATTTGTTCATAGATATACATATTAATTCACATTGTGTGTTTGTTCTTGAGCTTCTCACTGTTTTGGAGCTAGCAGAACCAAACTTAGAAGGTAGAGTTAGGTTTCCCAAGGGGTATCCTTATTTATATGACACAACCCCCCTACCCTTATTTATTTCAGGTACCAAAGGGGTCGAAAATGGGCCCAAAAGGTCATCCAGGCATGATGGGGGTCTAGGAGTACATTCACATTGTCACTGAATGTGAACTTAGCATCATATTTCATGTTTCTGTCCTCCTCTCAGGATCCTGAGAACACCATTTTTCAAACTGTGTTCATACCACCACTTACAAGTTAGTGGGACCAAACTTGGCACACATGCTCAGGTAGCAACGGAGGGTGTCCTTACAGTTTTTAAGGTATATACCCCTTTGGGTTAGCTACAGAAGGAATTGGGAATAATGAAAGAGTTTGATCTATATATTGTGGCCTCTGTGAATCATGGGGCTTTTAACTCCACATAACAGTGTGGGTATATTATGCTGGTTAGATATAATTTGGGATAATAAAGTTTTAAAATAGAAGTCAGCATCTTAGAGATAATCATTAAAGATAAATTTAAATCTAAGGTTTCATGACTTCAAATTATCACAGCTGGTAGTTGAATCATACTGATGAGTTTTAATACACACTTAACAAGTACATTTTAAGTCTTCAGAATACAGTGATTTAAACAAGGAATTACCTGGAGTCATTGTAACAATGGGCTGACAGTGATATATAGTAAACACCAGGTGTAGGAAAAGGCAAGTATTTTATGGCCTTGTCACTGAAGTTTGTAGATAGCTCCATGCTCAAGTGATCTTTGCAATCAATCACACCATTCGTATATAAAGGAGGACTTCCACGGTTTAAACAGATGCTGATGGTTACTACTTGGCTCGTAAGGTTCTGAAATAATGAATATGCATATAGGTTATTTACTGCATAGCTTGATAATGTAAAGTTGTTACAAACAAGTTTAAAGGTAATATCACTTTAGTGATCTTTATTGTTAGTAGTCTGATCTTCAGAATTTCCCGTGTGATAAAAATTTTGTTTTATCTGATTCTTGGTATACTTTTTATAGGTTCTTGTGTGGTTTTTATTTGCAGACTACTATACAAAGTGTTGATGAAATACAGCCTGATGAAGCAGGATCTACTAGATTGCTCCATTTCTAAGTGTTTTTAAGTAGATTTCTTGCATTACTGGCTTCTTAATTTCAAGCAGATTCTCTTGTGTTGCACAGAATATATTTTCTTTTGCTACGTGTTTGAGTTTTGGTATTTTTAACATGAATGGAACCTTAAAATAATTGACAACCAAAGAGAGGGCAGCCAGCTAGCAACACCCACCACCTCTTAACTAAGTAGCAGAACTAACCACCATGTAATATATGTAACCTCACATCTGAGAGTACAGAGAATATCTAACAAATAAATGTGGCAGTTCAAACCTTGAACCTTCTTATCCACAGATGGGCAAGCTACCCACAAGGCTATGCTGGGGTCTTGAGAGCAAGTCTTCAGGCTGCACATTAATGTTAAAACTGAAACTAATTTTTTGCAATACTAAGCTCAGACTTAAAAATTGTTAATGTTGATCCCAGTGGTTGATTAGTCTCAGATCTTCGAAAATTATGTATAATAGTAGATCAATGGGAGGTGGTAAAAACAAATCATCACTTTGTCAGACATATCATTAGAATTATTTCTAAATTGTATATGTACACGAGGGTCATAAAAACCAGCTGTAAGTGAAATCTCAACAAAGCTGATATGGATGAAGACTGAGAACTGTGATCAGATGTAGTTCAAAGAATTCACTTTAATATGAATGATGACTGTGAAATTAGAAATTTAAGACTCATGTCTGAGACACACTTCAAAAATACTTTCTCAACACTGCTAGAGATTTGTTTTAAAGTCTAATGTTTAGAAAGAGTAGAAGTTATGGAACTTGTCAGATGCAAGTTTAATTCTTTCAAAATACAATAAAAACTGCAAATCATAACTGTACTCTTGTCTTCAAACTGAATGCAGTAAAAGACAAACTTCTGTTGTTGTTTTTTTCTTTTAACACACCACTCGTACTTCCAGAGCCACAGAAATGGCCACTTACCGAAATTAAAGAATCCAGGTGAAACCATGTCTGTAACGTTCCACCAATGTCTACAAATGGCTCAAGTTGAAACTTCACAAGGATTGGAAATAAATCTGTCACAATGGCCCAGGACGTAAACCAGTCTTTACCCTATCAAATAAAATAGCAACAAAAAAAAAGATTCACCAAAACTGCTTTGCCCCAGTATTCATCCTATCAAATCAGCAAGAGGAAAATGAGGCTTTATTGTGACTGAAAACAAGCTGGAAAAAAAAAGATGAAAATATGCATCTTGAGATTATCTGTCACTACAGTTCATGTATACTTGTTATTGAATAATAAAGCCACTATTCTATGGAAAATACAAAACATACCACACTGCAATCTTGTAAAATCAAGTGTATATATATTGAGACTAATAATGGCTGGAGACGGCTTGAATGGGTAATGAAGAAAAACTTTAATATAAGTTTAACATAACAGCAAATGTACAATGTTTCGACAAGGTTTTGATGTACCTGATGATGACAAAACCTTTAGTTCAGATGATGATCAAACATGGACAACAATATTCGCATGTCCTGATATTTAGTTCAGACGGTCATCAAACATGGACAACAATATTCACATGTCCTGATATTTAGTTCAGATGGTGATCAAACATGGATAACAATATTCACGTGTCCTGATATTTAGTTCAAATGGTGATCAAACATGGACAACAATATTCACATGTCCTGATATTTAGTTCAGACGGTCATCAAAGATGGACAACAATATTCACGCGTCCTGATATTTAGTTCAGATGGTGATCAAACACAAACAACATTCAAATGTTCTGATATTTAGTTCAGATGGTGATCAAAGGTGGACAACAATATTCACATGTCCTGATATTTAGTTCAGATGATGATCAAACATGGACAACTATATTCACATGTCCTGATATTTAGTTCAGACAGTCATCAAAGATGGACAACAATATTCACGTGTCCTGATATTTAGTTCAGATGGTGATCAAACATGGACAACAATATTCACGTGTCCTGATATTCATTTCAGATGACAATTAAACACAAACAACATTCAAATGTCCTGATATTTAGTTCAGACGGTGATCAAAGATGGACAACAACATTCACATGTCCCAATATTTAGTTCAGATGGTGATCAAACATGGACAACAATATTCACGTGTCCTGATATTTAGTTCAGATGGTGATCAAACATGGACAACAATATTCACGTGTCCTGATGTTTAGTTCAGATGGTGATCAAACATGGACAACAATATTCACATGTCCTGATATTTAGTTCAGATGGTGATCAAACATGGACAACAATATTCACGTGTCCTGATATTTAGTTCAGATGGTGATCAAACATGGATAACAATATTCACGTGTCCTGATATTTAGTTCAGATGGTGATCAAACATGGACAACAATATTCACATGTCCTGATATTAAGTTCAGATGATGATCAAACATGAACAACAATATTTATGTGTTCTGATATTTAGCTCAGATGATGATAAAACATGAACAACAATATTCACGTGTCCTGATATTTAGTTCAGATGATGATCAAAC